TCTTATTTCGTAAGTCAAATACTACAAAAATAGTATGCTTTTATTAAAGATTATATAGTATATATATGTATTCACTCCATAAAATGAAAATAAAGATAAAAATAAAGGAAAAGAATCATAAATAAACATTTATGGAAAAAGGAATAACTGCAAATATTTAGGAAAAAGGAAATAAGTGAAAAATTAACATTTAATTACATTTTTTATTATTATTATAAAATGTTTATTTTAAGTCCTGAAACTATGTTTTGTTAAAGTGTTGAGAAAAAACCTACGGTCAATTTACTTAAATCTTCAAAAATAGAATTCATGACTAAATGCATTTTTCTCGAAATTATGAAAATTGCAGTTATTCCCTTTTCCCTTATCGCCACAGATTTAATGATATAGATTCAAAAAATTTTGCTGAGTGTGTTGCAGGTTGCATTTGACATGAGTATTTTGTTTTGTTCTACAGATTCATTAGTGATTTGTTCGATATTTTAATAGTTATTCTGCTATTCGGGGCGGAGATAAATCCAACAAATCAGGGATAATTAAAATTGGTCCAGCCATTCTTCAGTTATAAATGGTGTAACTACACAGACTTTGTTTTAAATATGTAGATGTAAGACCACAACAGCGTGTCCATTTGTAAGATGTAAGACCACATTAGCGTGCTTAGTTCATTTCTATTGATTTTAATTTTTGTTATTCGCTATATCTTAAATTCCAAACTTCTAAACCACACCTAGATTTGCTTTCAACCCACAATTTATATATTCTTATCTTTGTCTTGCTTTTTATTTTTTGGCTATACAAAACATTACAGAACTGTCTTGTCACTACTCTCCCTTGAGAGATCCTATGTTTTACTTCTTCTGCACAGCCACCTTCCTTTGATATACACATACCAAGGTACAGACTTATAAGCTGTAGTATTTTTAATATACCTGTTCCCAATTATTTTTCTGCAGATAAATATATATACATATATAAATATATATGCATACTTGCACACACACACACATGTTTCAGTGCATGTTTCTGTGTGCTTATTCAAAACAAAAAAATGTACGATTTTGTATTTCTTTCCTTGTAGAAAATGGGAAGAAAACGAAGGTTAACCATGATAAGTGAAAGAAGAAAGCGGAGAGAGTTGTTAGGGGGCAATCAGACACCTTCCACAGTCCTTGTAAGTAACTCTCTTTTGTTAGTTTAACATTCTATAGCAAATTGCTGGGCACTGTCTAGCAGTAATGTAAATATCATCAGAAGTAAAATTTTGCCATCAACAATATAGTAATTTTTTGCATCCAAATTAGCTACCCTTTCCTGAATATCTTTAATGGTTATTGTATCGTTGCAAAAAGAATCAAATGATTCCAGAATAACTTACAAAAATACTTAGATTTTCTATTTGTCTTGACTTCAAGATTCTTGTGCTCAGTCGACGTAACGCTGACAGAATTAAATCATACTGGACAAATCACAAATATAGCAAATTGTAAATTTAGAGAGAAAATTCACCATCACCTATCAAACGTCACAAGCATTCCAACTCATTCTGAATATGCTGCCCAAATACAAAACTTTACTTCTTCTGCAAATCCACCTCCCTTACACACACCAAGGTGCGGATTTATCTTTTATGGTTATTTTATCGTTGCAAAAAGAATCAAGTGATTCCAGAATATGCCACCTTATCTCAATTATTTAACTTCTCCTTAATAGAAGGTGTGGTCTTCAGTACTTTGGGAACCTTTTTCAATTCTCCTTCACATCGGGGAAAAAAATAGTTAGATTATCTATTTGTCTTGACTTCAGTGACTGCTGTGTCTTCTTGACTGCTGTACTCAGTCGTAACACTGACAGAATCAAATCATACAGGACAATCACAAATATAGTAAAGCGGAAATTTAGAGTGAGAATTCACCATCTTCTTTCAAACGTCCCAAGCATTCCAACTCATACTGAATATGTTGCCCAAATACAAAACTTGCCAAATAAAATATGTGTTACTCAAATAATGCAAAGAAATTTTCTATATATTAATTTGATTCAATAAGAGAAACAAACTGATAAACTCAGTACTTCAAACACAAGCTCAAAAAGAACTTTAAATCATGTTTAGGGACTGACTGCTTTTATATCACACTATATGGACATTTTCTGTCCAAATACACAATAACAAAGTACATATGTACATCAGACTAAAAACATGTATACAATACAGTCAACAAATTATACAGTGTAATAAAATTTGGGCAAACATAAATGTTAAAAATTTATTAATATAACAAAATATTAAAAATGTTTGACATACTTAACTATTATTTATAGTATATGTTCAATTCATGAACATTTAACAATTGAAAATAGAATATGGATCATGGATCTCGAGTACTTTATCAAACCACTCAAACCAAAATCATGTGCATCAATTTTTATTTTATTCCATTAATTTAATATATAGACATTTTGTTCAAGTACAGAGAAAATTACATTAATTTTTGTTTGCAAATTGGCAGCTGAACACTTTCAACATCAGTTTGACTACAATTAAATAAGATGGTATAAAATGATGAAGGTGTTTGTCTATTAATTGTATTTGGTACATTGAAATTCAAATCATTTAATAATAAAGGGCTTGAAATAATATATTTTACCAGTTTATAAATAAACTTTATATAATTTAATTTTGTCATTGATTTCAATTACGGAATTTTTAGAATAGATAGAATATCTTTAGAATTGATATTTCATAATAATTATTGTCTATAAACAGATCAGGTAGATTGTAGTAGGGAGAGATCATTCTAAAAACACATTATTCTGGACTATTTCTAAACGTTTTCTATGTATGATAAAAATGGGACTCCAAGTTGATGAAGCAAACAGCAGTAATGGTCTCACCAGTATTACAACCCTTTCACGTTTTGAATTTTAATTATGATGGTGGTGCTCCAGCTAGCTCAGGTTTGTACTGGGTACCAGTTTTGATGGATGGAAGGATTGGCGTTGTTAAAAAAAAAGTTGTTCATGGAACCTATAAACAATATTTAATGAAATGAACTAAAAATACATTAAACCCCTTTAATACCTTTTTCTGAGCTCATTGTTAATTGAGAAATTTTAAAATTAGTCTTATTGCTAATTGCAGGAACTTTAGATTGTGCCAAGGCGCGGCCATATCATTTTAAATGCTGTAACAATTTAATTCTCCCCCTGGAGTCTTTAAATACCGCGCCTGAAGGGCGTACTCGAAACCTTTTGGTCGGTTTCCAGCGTAAAATTGAGCACATGCGGCCTCCGTTGCCCCCACGAGCTCGGTGCCTCGTCAGCTGTTGACTCCGACATCGAACGTCCCAGGGCAGGAAGGGCGGCGTGGGCGGTGGCGGCTTCCAAAGGCCCCGACGGAGGCGGTCGCCCGACTCGGGTAGTGAGCCCAGACGTCAGCAGATAACGACCTTCGCCCACTTATGTCACACGAAAGTCTTTCGATGTACCGGGAGAGAGAGCTCAGGGCATCAATTGATGTCACTGTAGTCCCTCTGACCGGGAGGCCCTTGTGACAGGATTTTCGATACTAGATTCTTAGCTAGGTCGAATTCAGTCTGGAGAAGAATTCTAGCGGTCGGCTGTTCTAATAGGTAGTTTTCCTTGGTTTCCCCGATCAACACCAGGCTAATGCCGGAGCAATATCCTAACAAACGGGCCACGGACCTTTTGCTACAGTACGCACGCGATCTTTCTTTTATCCAATTCTCTCCCCTTAACAGCGCGCGCGCGCGCACACACACCCACACACCCACACACTCACACACACACACACACACACACACACACTAACATGCACTACCCTAAAATACATGCCGGGAGACCCGTCAGGAGCTAAAAGATTGTCTCGGCTGGGGCGGTGCCCCGATGGTGGAAGATACCTGGTTGGGGGAAACCCCGCTTGACAACGGTAGGTCGGCGCTGGATCTCGCCATAGAGCGGGGAAAGGCCAACGCCACCTCCCGAGCAAAAAACGTGCATTACACTTACGGGACTAATGACCCTGGTAGTTGACATGCCCAAAATCATTAAACAATCAGACAATCAAGCGACTTCCAGCACCAGCGGTGTGTTCTGCGACAACGGCGTGTACTAAACGCGATTTTCCGAGCTTGCGGCACCGACTCCAAATCTCGAAGAGATTTGTTGTGTCTAGGTCGACGCGACGTGTCTCTTAACACCTTAAGGACGTATTAATGGAGTAATCCTCCGTTAATAAGCGCCCTGTAGGGGCTGTGTTGTTAAGTCAGGGAATTGCCGACAGGTAGCGTCTTCACGATCGCACTCGCACGCATCATCTACCGATAGACTAAAATTGGGAAGGAATAAGGATAGGGGTAAGGTTTAGCACGCTTCACAGGAGTTTCACAAATTTCACATGAGGTTCAAGGGGAATCGAACCCAGAACCTCAGCGGCGAAAGGCAAGCGACTTCGCCACTGAGCCACGAGAGCTTTTCAAAACACCTGTTGCAGCAGCCAAAACTGCTTTGACATTTTTAACACTTCCTTTTGTTTTTGTCTTCATAAATTGACATACTTTTGCAACAACTTCATATGTCTGACTGTAACAGACTTCCTTATGAAACTTGGTCTGAACCGCAATAATTGCAATAATCACAAACAGAACAATAAATACTTAAACAGTGCTTTAAGAATAACATACTAATGCTTCACTCTAGTGGGAAATGCGACTGCAAGCTTGTTCCTTGGAGATACGAAAAGTCAGGTTCAATGTTTACACGATTGGAGTAGGGATGTCAACACGTGCTGAGAAGGGATGCGCTCCCAAATAAACTGACTGAAGTTTGAGGAATGGACTCTTCCGGCAGCTCAGAGCTCTCAATCTTCAGCAGCCACACTAAAACAATACTAATGTACCTAAGCAATTAACTACATTATTAATTGATTGAAGATTTATAAAACCAATTGTATCAGAGAGTATCCTAGAACTCTTTTTGACGTAAAGTTGTTGGTCTCAAAAATCGGATACCAGGAATGTTTATCATTAAATCATGTTATATCAGGTAGACTGTAGTCTCCCAACAAAAAACAATCATTATAAGAGAAATTTAATTCAAGAGATTTAACACTTCTACAATGAGAAGTAAAAGTATTAACTCCAGCTTGATGTGGAAAATAAATAGTGCCGATAATTAAATTGATCATATATACAAAGAGGTGATCTACATAATCGAAGGAAACAAATAATAGGCTTTTATATTTCTTCTATGCCACAATTAATCCCCCCCATATTAAGAGCACTATTGTTAGGGTTTGTATCATTCCTGTAGATGACGTACTGTACCTAGTTCAATTCCGAATTCAATATACTAGAACACAGCCACGTTTCGGTAAAAACTATGTCATTGTATTAATTAATTAAGTAAATATATTATTATATTTCTTTAAGTTTAGTTCTCAAACCTCTCACATGTTGGTAGTAAACTTTTAAACCTATATCTTTTTTATAAAAATTGTTAATACTATTTAATCCTCTTTTGGAGCATTTACACTGATATCAACAATTTGTGGTTTCCCTCTGACATATTTTAGTTTAAACAACTGACTCTTTGTTAATAACAGCTTCTTCTCTATTGAGCTCCTTCAGATAGTTTCGTTGCAAAATAGTCATAGTGATAGTAAGAGGCTTTTTACATTTATTTTAATTTTTTTACATACGCTTTTGTACATATTTTTATAAAATTTTTAACCTTACCTAAAATAAAATAGAAACATTGTGTCAAAACTTCACAAGGGTCAACTGGCTGCCATTTATTGTGGCTCGTGAAATGTTATTAGACAAACGTTTAAGTCCCTTGCATTCAAGTCGGGCAAGAATATTGTACCTAGCGCATGCACTCTGTTGGAGTCAACATTGACTTGTAACATTTTTTTTCTAGTAAATTCCAGAGTAATCTCACAATAAAAAAAAACAAACAAAAACAAAAAAACAAACAACAACAACAACAAAAAAGTCTAATTGCTAGTAGAGTAGATATCAGTTCACAATGTTCTTGTAGACTTTATTATGTTTTTTTTTATATATATCAATTTCATCAATAAAAATGTTGAATATGGAGCTACTATTCAAGTTTGCAAGTGCACGAGCTATTTTTCAAACTCAGTAACAAGTTCAAATCATCTTTGTTATGCACTCCTGTGGAGAATGTCTTTATTTGGGAACCTCTGGAGAATGTCTTTATTTGAACATTAACCGAAGCGAAACACAAACAATGGTAATATTATGAGAATTATCTTCTGAATGATTTTACTTTTTTGTCTTCAGGTAAAAGAGGAACCAGTGGAGTTTTCTGGGAATACTGATGTGAGTCAAATTCTCGTTTGCTCTCTTTTTTTATTTTATTCTGTTTTTGTTTAAATGGAAATTGAAGAAAAGTAAGAGCTAAAGAAAAAAGGAGCTGCTTTGTATTGTTGCACAAGGATTATCAAAAGTTAAAACCACTTTCACTAGTGTGGAGTAAATGAAGTGTAAAGACCACCATTTTGCACTAAAATCAATTTAGTTCACTTCCTTTTACAATGCCTTCGCATGGTACATGCACTTGCTGGAGATTTCTCCTTTTATCGCATTAAAATAGAGAGCAAGAAATTGTAGGACTTCAGTTATTTACAATTTAGTCACAAATGAATACATTTATTGCAATAAGTAAATATTACTAAACAATAGTGTTCTAAATGTTAGCCTATCAGATTCTGAATTACGTATTAATGAAATTAATGTCTTAAGTTTTAAACATCTTTAATAGGCATTTTCTGTCATTGAAACATGTTATAGAGAATGGCACCTAATCCTTTTAACTAGTACCAGGTAACTAGGTGATTAAATGAGAACAAAGCATACTGTGTAAAACCTTGAATTTAATGAAAACCAACTACTTCATAGAATGTAATTTCAGCAGATTATTTACCTTATCAGTTACACTACTTGCATTGTAATACTAATATTTTAAGGACAAATATGGGAATATAATAATAAGATTAACAATATTAATTGCCACCACCTTGACCTTGCAGGAGAGGCAATTAGGCTATTAAGCAATTATGTTGAAAGTATGTTTTGCGTCACAGTAAATACATCCAAAATGTTACATTGTTATGGAATAACTGATATATTTTAATAATTAAATGTGATCAAAGAATTGAAATATCCAGTGAGAGAGGGAGTTAATCTACAAAATTTAAAATATCGATTTTTAAACATATTTGATTATGTACAATTCAATGTGTCAATTAATCAATGTTTTGAATTTTGTGTGTTAGCTCCCTCTCTCACTGGATGCTTCAATTGTTACTCTGACTGGGACTCCAACCCAGGTGTCCTGGTTTACATCCAGTTACTCCAACTGAGCTCTCAAGACAACTAATTCTTTAAACAGTTTCAAGGCTTGAGTATTGCCTGTTATATGATATTTAATTGTTACAACCCTATCACCATATTGAAGAGGCAATAATATCAGAAATATGTTCCGCAACAAAATAAGTTTTGTTCGGTGGGCATAAACAAGGAAGACCCAGGTTTGAGCCCAGTCAGGGTGACAATTCATTATACAAATTAATTATCAAAATACATTGGTTACTCAGTAACAAGAGATCACATCTTGGATGGATTTTCTGTTGCAGAATGTATTTCTGACATAATTGCCCCACCACTAAAGTAACAGGGTGATAACAATTAAATATCATACAACTGGCCATGGGCCTTGAAACTGTTTAAAGAATTGGTTGTCTTGTTAGCCCAATAGTTACTCTGGGCATAGACCAAGAGACCCAGATTTGAGACATGTTTGGGGCGACAATTCTTTAAACAAATTTAATTATTAATGATAATGATGATATATGCAAACACAATATAAGATACAAAATTAATTAATTTTCTTTTGTTCTTAGATGGAGTTAGAATGTCCAGTGTTTGTGAAGGTTGAAGTAGAGTGTGGAATGGAAGAAGCATGTCAGGAAGATGATGAAAGTTGGAATAAAGAAGCATTTCGCGGAAGCAATGCAAGTCCCGAAGGAAAGGTAAGAATGAAAGCGTAACTATTGTATATTCTAATTGAGGTTGATTCCAAGATGTGTAGGAGCATAGTTAGGTTGTGGAAAAGAGCATGCAGTACATTATTTTTTCAACTCAAATAAAGTGTGTAGTGTCCCTCTGAGGACTCACATTTCACTGTATCACTGTATGTCACTGTATCAGAGGCTTGCTAAAGCAAATGTAAAGCATTTTCTCTTCGAATATTGTTTTTTTTTATTTGAGAAATTTAGTAAAATTTCCTTCCACAGTAAATTCAAAAATTAAGTGTATTAATTTAGTCTTAAAATAATTTATTCTTTATATAATTTAGTCTTAAATGTTTTTACTAGTTTGTTGTGTATGGTTTTTAATTAATAATTTTTGCAAATCCTTCTCCAAAGTTTGTGTAGTCTCTGCCCTACGTATTACTCGCGCAACTTTTCTTGAACGATGGATTGAAGAAATACGGGTAGATTGGGGGTATTAGTTATGAAATCGGCCACTAGATTTTATAAAGCAATGCCAATCTCTTGAGAATCAGTCATGCCTTTGCAACTTTCTCAATAATTTGCGTTCTAATTTTCTCAGGAGTTCGAGGTATTTCCTGTGATGAATCTTTACCTTCTTTGATCATTTATTTAAATATTTTGGAGAAAATCGTGGTCGGAAGTTCTCATCTTCAATGGAAAATAGTTTCTATTTCGTGCCGGTGAAGATGGGTTTGGAATGTTGTCATCAGTACACGCTGTGAGATTTTGTTTTAAGAACCGTTTTTGTGTCAGAGGGGGAAGCAAGGTCATCGTTCAAGAAAAGGTGCGCGAGTAATACTACAGTGTTCCATGTACGTATCATGGGCCCTCAAGCATTTTGTTGCCGCTTAATCATTAGAGCTCTCATAACGCCCTTGGTGCATAAATTACTATTTATGTATTATTATTTATTCTGTTGGTAGGCAACATTACATGTATAAAAGGATTTATATTTTTTGATATAGAATGTTCTTTGTTTGAACTTAAAGCTGCAATTTGCATAACAATAGGTGACAAATTATGTTAAAGTTGCAAATTTTGCTGAAGATTGTAAATCATTTTCTGTAAGGAATGTCTCAAAAGATTTTTGATTCTCTTTACAGGAGGAGCTTGAGTCTCCTGAATCTCTGTTTCTTGAGCCAATTGTGAATAATAAAGATTCTCAAGCAACCAAGGTTAGTAAAGCCTGATAACTCATACGTGGAATTCTGTTGATCAAAAAAGTCTTGGGGGATATATTTCAGGACCCATCAACATTTTTACATTTTGAGGGTAGCTGGTGTTGCTTAGCCCTTACTATTACTTCTATCAATCCAGATAATGTTGCATATTGCAGTAAAATATTTTCACATGCTCGACCAAAGTAACTTCTGAGATTTTAGATGAAGTGGGATTGTGATAATAGTAGAGATTTAGTCACGAATAAGGAAAGGAATTTATTGTAAAATATAAAGCAAAATGTGTAAATATATATTTTCACATTATCCACATTATCCAAATTTTGTTTTAATATGTAAAAAAGACTAGAAAATATGTAAAATAAAAATTCATTGTAGAGTTTAAAATTTCTCCATGCAAATATTTTAAAATTGTGGACACAAAACATCGTCAATCAGTTCAAATGGATTTGGAGAGGCTGAAAAAAATGTCTCTCTAGAGAAGTAATCTATATTGCTAATTTCATATGCACGCAGTAATTGAAAGACAAGTGAGCCGCCTATGGTCATGTGAGAGGTGTCAATTGTGTCCTTAGATACCCAGAATCTCGGAGGAAAGAAAAGAAAAAGAAGAAAATAAGATATAAAGTAATTTCAATTTATAAAGGCAGAGATTTTTTAAAGTCCAGACCAAACCAAAAGTTTGAAAGCTGAGTTCACTTGAACAAAATGAAGAAGTCTCAATTACATCAGTAACATACCCAACAGCATTAATCTGAAGTGGTTTTGAACAAATTGTTTTGTCATTTTTCTTTGTTTTTAGGGCATTTGAAAGCATTTTAAGAGCATTTTATTGGTCATTTTTGGCAGTGTTTTAGGTCATCAAAATCCACCCCAACTTGTATACATTTAATGTGATTAAATGCAGATGTCTTGTTCCTGTAAACAAATATGTATGTACATGAAAATATTTTCCCTGGTCTTGAAGTTCTAATTTGTCAGGAGTGGAAGAGTAAAAGATCTGTGAATAGAAAGTAATTCCATGATAAACAGTGGTCTTAAATGTTCCCTGTTGAGATGGAAGAATTGGCATTGGTGAAGAAAATTTTGGAAAAATCTGCAAGTTCACCAACTGGAGCTTTCTCTTTAGTTGTCATTCAATTCTTATAAACTTAAAAACGGAATGTTTGGGAAATATCAATTTTGGTGAAAATCC